CGCCGCTTCCAGGTCGTTTCGTGGGGCCACATAGACCAATTTGGGCTTGCTTCTCGGCGTGACCTGTGCCATCTTCCCAAGTGCCTTGCGGTCAACCTTCCCATTGGGATTGACAGGTAGTTGCTCCAGCACCACAATCCGGGCCGGCACCATGTACGAGGGGAGCAAGGTCTGGAGGAGGTTTCGCATGCTGTCCTCAGTGAGTTGATCTTGTATCCGAGCCGCAACAAAGGCGATCATCTCGAGCTCCTCGTCGTCTTGCTTCGTCGCCACCACGGCCGCGTCGCGGACCGACTCCTGGCCGAGGATTGCATGCTCCACCTCCGCCAACTCAATCCGGTGGCCGCGGATTTTGATCTGCCGGTCCATGCGCCCGAAGAACTCTATCTGACAATCCTTCGGCCGATAGCGCGCACGATCCCCTGTGCGATACGCCCTCACTTCCTGGCCGTCGATGATGACATCTATAAAGCGATCCTTGTCCAATGCCGGGTCAGTGTATCCTCGAGCGAGACCGTCTCCTGTGACAACCAACTCTCCCATCACCCCGGGCGGGACGAGTTGTTGCCGTGGGTCCATGATGTAAGCTCCAGAGTTGCTGACAGCATGGCCGATGGGGACTCCGTTGACGAACTGTTCATTTTCTAAAATCTTGTAGATCGTGCTAAGGACCGAGTTCTCAGTCTGCCCGTAGGAATTGTACACGCCACCTTTAACGAGTGCTTGTGCGTCTATTGCATCCTGGCTGTCAAAGCGATCCCCAGCGACGAAAAGAACATCTAATAGCCTGAAGGCACCAGGAGTATCAGCAAGGTATTGCTTCACTAGCGCTGGCGGAAGCATCGCCGCGCATATCCTCTCCCGAGCAAATACAAAAGCCAGAGCTTCGCTGTTCAAAGCAGTGGGGTAGTCAATGCAGACGAGAGTGCCGCCATTAAGAAGAGGTGCATATATCTCCCAAGCGGAGATATCAAAGGTTATGCTTGACAGGTGAGCCACGCAAGGAGCGGGTGGGAGGACGTTTGCAACATTACTTTGTTTCACTAGGCGGATAATTGCTTGACTCTCAATCATAACTCCTTTTGGCTTGCCGGTCGAGCCAGATGTGAACAGTACATACGCCAGACTGGTCGCGGATGGCCACAAGGGAGTGTTTGTGTCGCTGGGAATATCTTGGCACGGATGGGCTAGGGCATCGCCGATTCGGACCATCTCCAGATCTGATAACTCCAGCGCCGGAGGACATACGTCGGGTCCGAGGAAGACTAGTCTGGGCCCGACAAGGGTGGATAAGATTGCCTCAGTCCGGGCAGTAGGAACGTTGACATCGAACGGCAGATATGCTAGATTGGCCTTCAAGATACCGAGGAAGGCTGTAATCGTCTGGCAGCATCGCGGCGACAAGACGGCAACGAGCGACTCTGCGGGAAGGCGCCGCTGTTGTAGCCAGGCAGCAAGCTGGTCGGATTGACGGTCCAGCTCCGCGTACGTTAATTGCGATGAGGAGTCTTTAACTGCGATTGCATCTGGGAACGCGGCCACCTGCTCGCGGAAGATGTCGACCACACTCGACTCCCGGGGATACTCAGTTCTGTCGATCTGGAGATGTCCCTTGGTGCGAAGCTCCCCCAATCCGTCGGTCAGCTGCATGGTGGCAATTGGCGTCTGAGGGTCCTCAAGCCCCCGGCGTAGGGTCTCACGGAAGACGGCAAGTAGGTGGGTAATAGTGTCAGCCTCAAACAGCTGCGTCGAAAAGGCCATGCCACCGCTGAGGCGGTCTGACTCTTGGAACAAATGAAATTCAATATCGAATCTGGTCGTCACGGATAGCCCGATAGGCTCGGCTTGCATGCCTTCCAACTGGATTCTGCCCATGTCCTTTTGAGAGTGGACCGCCAATAGAAGCTGGACCAGTGGGTTTCTTGATGTGTCCCTCGAACCTGCCAGCAGGGTTGAGACTATCCGCTCGAAGGGAACATCCTGATTTGCGAAAGCGGCCGTTGCAGTAGATCGCACCTTTTGCGTCAACCCCTCGAATGTGTCGTCCTCGACAGTAATGCGCATGCACTGGGTATTGACAAAGAAGCCGATCATGTTCTCCAGCTCTGGCCGATTGCGGTTGGCAATCGGTGTACCGATGCACGCATCCTCGGCTCCTGTGAGGCGATAGTGAGTGGCACGGAACGCGGCAAGCAGTACCACAAAGGGGGTCATCTGATGGGTCTTGCAGAAAGCCTGCAGGCTCTGGTACAACTCGGCCTCAATGGTGAAGGGTACAGCACTGGCCTCGCCAGTCAGAACCTTCGGCCGGGGGCGGTCAGTCAACAGTTCCGCAGGCGATGAGCCCTCGAGTTCCTGTTTCCAGTACTCCAGCTGCCTGTGATGTTCAGCCAGCTGATCTTCCTGTTTCTGCCACACGGCGAAGTCGCGGTACTGAATCGGGAGTGGGTTCACGCGGAGGAGTGGGTGTTCACCTCGTCGAGCAGCCGCGTAGAACTGGGCCAGCTCCTTGCGCAGGACGTCGATAGACCACCCATCAGAGATAATGTGGTGAAGGACATAGGATAGGATGTAGTCATCATCGCCGAGGCGGAGCAGGGACACTCTCACCCCGGGCTCGATTGCTAAATCAAAAGGAGTCTCCTGCTCCCGCCGTAAGGCCTGGACATAGCTCCCATCTTTCTCAGCT